AGTATATTTCTAACTATTTACCAATCTTGTTAGCTAATAAAAAGCATATTTATAATATATACGATGGAATATATAAAATTCGTTTGATCGATCCAAGTTTTTTAAAAAAAAATCTTCTTTCTTCCACCGTTCGAGAGTTAAAATATATAAGCTTAATTCTTCTCTCTCCTGTCACATATCCGGTCAATGCATCGATGCGAACAAATGGCGATAATGGAAGTACAGCAAGTGTTACTTTGCGCTGATATACGTGTACATGTATGTAATGTGATCTTTTGCGAGGAGAAAGAAAGAAAAAAAAAAAACCTAACAATTGATACGTAAGGGAGAAACGCGAGAGGAGAAGAGAAAAATTTAGAAAAAAAAAGAAAAAAAAATATGCAAGGATCAAACGTGTATGTACGCGTGCAACAACGTAATTAGTTACGAATAATGAACAATTAGCCTAAATCATTCCACGAGACGGTTCCTCCTTTATTATATGGAGAATAATGACGGATGATACTCGTTGGGACGGCGACGATTAAGAAAAAAAAAAAAAAAAAAAAAAAAAGAAAAAGAAAAAAAAAGAAAAAAGGAAGAAACAAAGGAAAGGGGGAAACGAGGAGAATGATTAGAGGAAAAAGAAAAGAAAAAAAAAGAAAAATGAGGAAAGAAAGCGTTGAAAAAAGTGACGACAAAAAAAAAATGGGAAACACACATACACATACACACGAAGAACAAAAATGTAATATTAGTAGGGAACCGTAATTTTTCATGCTCGTTTCTCGATCACACTACTCTAATTACCCAGATGTAATTTGTACTGTGTAACTATTACTATTTTTATGAATTTTTGTACATTTTTCTAATTATTTTGTATGATAATCCTTAGCGGAAAGAGTGGCGTGTCTGGCACCCAGTTTCCCCTAATAGAAAATAAAAGTGTTCAAACGTGTGAAGAAGGGACGGTTATTATTCGAGTAGAAAAGAAGATAAAAGAGAAGAGGGAAAAAAAGTTGATACGACACAGACACGCAAAATGTCACGCAATTATATATGTATGTATAAGCGAGAGAGCGTATTTTGGGGTCGAATAAGGGTGTCGGAAGATAGAGAGAAGATTTCAAAAACCCGATTTATATAGAAAACAAGCGAAAACCAACCAAGAGGGATTTAATGCGCGTAGATGATTTCAAAGGAAAAGCCACAGTTATTGAATAGCGTAGTCCACCATTTGTCCGTGTAGTTTATCTGCTCGCCTATCTATCTGTCTGTCTGTCTGTCTGTCTGTCTGTCTGTCTGTCTGTCTATCTGTCTGTCCGCCTATTTGACTGACTGGCTGGTCATCTGTTTGTCTAATCTGTCTGTCTTTCCGCCTGTTCACCGAATCTGTTTGAAAATCTGGCAGCCAGACAGTCAGTCGGTCAGTCGATCAGTCGATCAGTCGATCAATCAGTTAGCCAGTCAGTCAGTCAATCAGTTAGTCAGTCTGCCTGTCTGTCATTCTGTCTATATATATAACTACATGTCCGTCTAAATCTATCTGTTTCTTTTTTTTTTTTTTCTTTTTATACGTGTCATTATATTACCATTAACGAATATTGAAAGTAAGGATAAAGATATAAAAAAATAGTTGCAAAAATCATTTATTAATTACATATCGTGATGATGATGATCCTATTTTAAATCCTAATTAATATCGAGAATGATAGTGGCAACAGGTGTTTTACAAATGCGAATGTATAATTTAGACAAGAAATAGACAAAGAGGAGAGAATGGTGGGCGGGGAGGGATGGAGGGGGAAGAGAGAAAGACAGGCAGACGACATTTACGAGAAAAATAAAGGTGATCAAGAAAACCAAAAACCTCGCGTGTAAACGCGGAAATCGAATGTGTGAACCTCCTTCGTAATTTGAAAACGTGTTTGTTATTAATTATAAGAATATCACCTTTTCTTTTTGTCTTAAATTTGAAATGCTATCAAAATAGATCAATTCTTTCATGGAGTTACGATTTCTTATATTTTTTTCCTCCTTTCCTCCTTTATTATCCTTCTCTCCTAAATTAATCTTTATATTCGTTGTTAATTTAGGAATAATTTTAATTTTTTTCATTTTAACATTTTAAGAATATAAACTAAATTATTATTTTATATTTGAGATATATCAATGATGATAGAATATTTTGGGACGATTAAGTAAGGAAAAAATTTTATCAAATTTATATTAATTTTAAATTATAATTTAAAAATTGTTCAGTCGATCTAATTGAGGAATCTAATTTTCATATCAAAATTTTTTCCTAGAAAATTTTTAAATATTTTTATTAGTTCTACTAAATAAATATCAACGATATCATAATTGAATTGAATTTGATGCATATGTATAGTATCATCACATTAACGAAAATGTTATACAAAACCATAACGTCAAAATCATAATTTTTTCTATTACATGAAAACATGCTTGTATATGTATAAGCATAATAAACGAAAAATAGATTAGAAAATGATGGACGTCTCAACTATTCGGAACGATTCGAAGTCTTATTCGAAGATTATAAAGATTTGAATTGATTTTGAATATAATTCAAAGTTTAGAACTTTTGAAAGTCTTGATAAATCTTGAAAGCAAAACGTGAAAATTTTAATAATTATAGGAAATTTCAATATTTTTCGTATATTTTTCGTATATTTTTCGTATACATAGTAAAATACTAAAGTGAAGTGATAAAAAAATAAATTGATAATATAAGTGGAATGTATAGATACTGTCTTTCTTATTGTTTCGAATCTCCTTTCTTCGAATTACTTAAATCATTAAAAAATTACTTAAATCAATTAAAAAATTGTGGAATCAGAGTTATTTACACGAACAAACATAAACAAGAAGAGCAAGGAATAGAACAAAAATAGAGTTGGAATTGATCATCAGCGCCAATTCTTGATTGCTAAAAACATTTAAAAATAAGATAAAAACAAATAAAAATTGACCATCAGTGCCATCTCTTAGATACTAAAAACATCTCATTTAAATCAAGATAAGATGAAATAATTAAGAACCGGTGTTATCTTTTAAAAAATATTTTCATTAATTAAGAAATGATCTTCAATTTTTATTATTTTATTTTAATTCTTTTTTTATCATTTGCTTTTTTATTTATATTAGTTTTATTTAAGAAATGATGTTATGTTAATGATGTTATGTTTATGATTCCCAAATTTTTATTCTATTTCTATGCTTGTCCTATTATTTTTGTATTTGTTTTTTAAAAATATACTCAAGATATATAATCACTCCGACATCTGATTAATTTTATTGATTAAAAATTATTAATCAGAATCTATTCTAATTTTTATTTCTATATATTTATACAAAATATATGTCACATTTTGTTTTAACTTTTCTAATAAAAAAATAAATAATTATATATAATAATAAATATTTTTAATAAAATTTAATCAGTTTTTCGATTAAATTGCAATAAAAAAATTTCAAAAAAATGTTTTTTTTCAATAAACTAAAATCATCTTAACTTTTTTTTTTAGCACTAAATATTTTTGATTTCATAGTAACTGATATTAAGACGAATTTAATGATGTACTATATAACTTTCAAATGAATGAAGAGATCAAAGGAACTCTTATCGTAAAAAATTATTTCATTTCAATGAAATTATTTAAAATATTCAAAATATTATCTTTAAAATAGAAAATGTTAATCGTTCACCTATAGTAAAATAAAATAAATAAAACAAATTTAATTGTTTAATATCGTGATATTTTTATGTCTGGAATTATAATAAATGTTCAAACTATAATCCAAAATTGTAATCAATGAAGTAAATTTATACTTGTTATTATTATAACACTGATGATATGCTGTGAGAATTTATTTTTTTAAATATTAATGTTTTCAATTAACACAATTTCGATTGAAATAAATTCTATAAAAAAAATTTAATGAATTCAAATCAGAGGATCATAGCGGCCAAGGAATAATTTTATGAATGTTCAATATTCTCCAAATTTTATGTTTAAATAATCATTAACATCTTGTTATAAGGTGGCATGCATCTTAGAAAGATTATACGTTGAAGATTATTTGAAATTATTTGTAATAATGTTTGAAATTTATTGCGAAAAAAATATAAGTGACATTTTTTTGTCAAATTTTAGAAAGAATAAAGTTCAATGATCTATTAATTCATATCAAACTAACTGCAATTTTTTTTAAAATTATTTTCTTAAAAAAATTATTATGTAAAATTTCTATATTCAAAATTAAATAATAAAATTAAAATAATCATTATTATAAATTCAATATAAATTAAATTTAACTTCAACAATTGGAATATATAAATTCAATATAAAATTATATATAAAATCAATTGGAATATATATATTCATGCATTTTCTATAATTCCGCCAATGAAATCATCATATCACTCAGCCAATCAATCAGCAGATCTATTTTTTTTATCATTATAGATAATACATTTTATCTATATAATCATTGATTTCTCTCAATGTTATAATACACATTTTTAAAAATATATTTTTTTATCTAACATTATGTTTTTTATCTAAATCGAAATAAAAAGTAATATTTTATTTATATGTAAAAAATAAAAAATAAATTATTTTTGAAATTATTTAAATGATATTTATGTAAATTAAACTAAAAAATTAATTGTTATTTACAAATAAAATATTTATAATAGTTTTATTTATTATTTATTATATAAATAAAAATTTATTTATTTCTGGATTATTTGAAATCTTTAAATTAAGTTAAAGTTAAAGCTGAAGTCATTAATTTTTATTCGAAATTCAAAATTATAATTAATTCAAAACTATAATTAACTGCTTTATATAATTATAAATTTAATTTAAAAATAATATTAGAATTACCATTTCGCATTATATTATTAATCAATTATTCAATGTTAATAAAATAATTTTATTTGAAATTTTAATTAATTAATTTTTTACATAATATTACCCAATATAGATTGGAAGTCATTCGAAAAAGAATTGTGTAACGTGTATTTTGTGTGATTGAATTTAAGGAAAATTTATATATTTAATTAAAAAAAAAAAAAAAAATTATAATAAAGATGCGTATTACAAATATATTTTTGTATAAAGTTCATAATATCCCATATAGATATCGTGGGTATGTATAAATATCCATTCCAATAAAATTTTGAGGTTATGTTTTAATTATTCGGTAATTTTTTTAATTGTGATATTGCAATTGATGCAAAAACATAAAATAAAATGGTGTTTCATAATATATTTGTTATTACGTAAAAAATATTATTTAAAAAAATTTATTTTTAATTTTTCATTGTAATATTACAAACTAAAATTATGCTTATTATATATTTATATATTTAAATAATGTTATTAATGATACATAAATATTACATCAAATATAGGAAATATGGTAAAATTAAAAAACCCACTTTGAAGAATATAATGGATTTTAAAAACGATCTTGAAAGAGAAGAAGAAAATATGTTAATACTGAGACATCCTTATCTTACTATCGAACAATCACAAGGTCATATGAAAGAAGTTAGAAAACAAAATTATTTGATTCAGTTAAATAAGTGGCAACAAGAAAAAAATGAAAAATTTAACAAAAAAATAACTATTTCAGATCGGTTAAATCATTTAAAAATAGCTAATGTATGGGATTAATTTTTATTTTATAAATATATATAATTATTCACTTTAAAAATAAAGAATTGTATTAAATAAAGTTTCCATATATACAATATGAATAATATAAAAGTTCAACATATATGGTATTATATAGTATTATTTGATTTTTTTAAATTTTTGTTAATAAAACAAATTGAAAAAAAAGTAGATTGTAAAATTAAAAATTGAATATAATATTATATTCAATTTTATATTAAGGAATATAATATTAAGGTCTTAGCACAGTAATTTCATTGAATTTTCCACTTGAATATAATTTTTTCTGTTATATATATTTGATTCATGGATTTACAATAATTTCATTTCGAAATCTGGTGTGTAAATCCTTTGGTTTGTTTCTTATCCAATTAAATGGATCTCTAATAATTTCTGTTTCTGTCAATGTTTTTCCCTCGTATAGAAAGTTTGCAAAATCTGATACAATAGGATCTGCCGCAATACTACTCATAGCAATAACTTTATTATTTTTAATATAATATGCAAAAAATTCCAATTTCTCTAAAGAACCATAAATTCTAATTTTCTCTGGTGTTCCATGTCCTGTATTTAAAAAAATTTAAAATAATTGTAATGTAATTATAATGTAAATATGATATTTTATTTTTTTTTCATTATTAAATATAAAAATATAACGTACCCACATATCTATAACTCTTTCCAAACAATGTTGTCCAAAAAAATGGTACAGCCTTTAAAGCAGTAGTTTTACCACATATATTTAATGCTGCTATTTTACCATGATAATGTGCTAATGAATAATGACCTATTGCAGCTGAAATTTCATCAGAACCAAATAAAGGTGCATAAGCTACATCTCCACCGGCATATATATTTTCTACATTTGTTTTCAAATACTAAAATTATACATACAATTATTTATTATATTATTATTCAATCTATCTCAAAATTAATGCTTAAAATATTCATTACCGCATATGTTATTTTACCTTATCCACTTTAATGGTTCCATCTGGTAGCATTTCAATAGGAGATTGCTTTATCCATTCAGTATATACTTGTGCTCCAATTCCAATAATTACTATATCAGCAAGAAGAACTTGATCATCATTAAGTACAACTGAACCTACAGCAGTACTATCATCTTTTTTTGCAACAAATTGTGTAATATTACGTTCAAATATAAATTTAATACCTTGAAAATATAATATTTATTTATTTTAACATTTTAATTTGATATTTAATATAATACTAAATATAATAATAAAATATTTAAGTATATTTCAATATATTACCTTCATCTTTAAATTGCTGCTTGATTCTATTACCAATATCTGTTCCAAATACTGGTTGTAAAGGAGTTTTACCTCTTCCAACAATAGTAATAGATGCACATTTTTTTGCACAAAAAGCAGCAACTTCCATAGCAATAAAACCTAATCCTAATATTATCATATGTTTTTCAAGTGACAGTTTTGAATTTATAGTTTGAGCATCTGTATAATTTCTTAATACATGGATATTAGATAAATTAACACCAGGTATTTCAGGTATTCTGGCCATACTTCCAGTACAAATAAATAAATAATTGTATATTAATTTTTCATTATTACTTAAATGAAGAATGTTATTATTTGTATCTAATCCTATAATATATTAATATTATAAAATTTGAAATTTAAAAAAAAATATATTTCATATTAATTTATTTACCTATGGCTTCTACATCCAATTTAGTTTCAATTTTGTGCTCTTTGTAAAATGAGTTTGGTCTTAAAATTATTTTTTCAATATCTATATCAAAAGCTTTGGATATCTTTACTCTCTCATATGGTAATACATTTTCCTTACATATCATAGTAATATTTCCTGTAAAATTTTCTTGTCGCAAACTTTCTGCACATGTTGCACCTGCTGGTCCACCTCCAACTATTATAACAGTATTAGTGTTATTGGGATCTCGTTCACACATATTCTTTACCCTTCTACTGAATTCTAAATCTTTGCGATTTGCTTTCACGTGTACAAAACCAGATGTATCTACGTTTACCTATTTCATCAAATTTTATATTTTATTTTATTGTTTATTTCATGTTTATTCATTAAATACCTGGAAACAAGGTAAAGAATCTAATCCTGGATAATCTTCTATATCTCCTGTTTTAATATTAAAACATGCACCATGCCATGGACATCTTATTCTTCCATCTCCTAGTGCTCCTGTATGAAGTAAAGCCCCATAATGTGTACATTTTGTACCAATAGCATGTATTTGTCCTTTTTGTTTAATTAATAAGATTTTTCCTCCATTTTGTCCAAGTGGCAAGAGTTTCATTTCATTTTCTCTAATATCTGTTTCCATGCACACCACATCTTCAATATAGTCATATTTTTCTGGTTTACCTAAATAAATATAAATATTTCATATTTAAAATTATATTTGGAACTTATATTTGGAATGAATTAATTTTTTTTATTATGTACGTTAATTTTTTTTTAACATCATTTAATTTAATTAAGAAAATATATATATATATATACATATATATGTCTGTATGTATATTAAATTATATTATTAAGATGTATATGAAAAATCATTAACTCACAACTGCAACAACATTGTGCATTATTATATAATTGCCTAATTTCGGCTACTTCTTTATTACACACATTACAAATAAGAGCTTTTCTTTCAGGTTGCATTTCGTGTAACCTTTTATTATTTATTTTTAAATGAACATGAAAAATTGCATTATACGCCAATTTCATACATCGTTTCATAACATATAAACACATATCTTCAAGGTGGTTTATTTCGTATTATTTCGTCTTGTTTAAACTTTTATAAAATATTTATTTTATATATAGATTATAACTTTGATATTGATTTCATAGCACAATAAAAAATAATAAAACTCTAAATATAAAAATTTTGCATTTGCATATAAAAATATTCCGTTGTAAGAATATAACATTAGAGAGAACGATCTATATTTTCAAAAAATATTCTAATTATTCTTCACATATTTTTTTAATTATTTAAAAAAATAAAAAATTATATTAAGATTTAATAATATAAAACGGAATAAAATTTGCTTTTATTTTGATGTCATAATTGTTTATTATTAAATATAAAAATTTTTCATTTATTTTTTAATAGAATTTAATGAAAATAAAAAAAAATAATATATATTATTTTTATGTAACGTAATTATATACACACATTTATTTAATATGTATATTTTGCATATGTATATTGTACGTAAAAATTATGACATTAAATTTTATATATAATTTCTTTCACATTCAAAATTTTTAATTAAATATAGATAAAAAGATTTTTTCTTATAATATCTTATCTGTTGATATATATATAGGATTTTTATATAGAATAATAATATATCAATGAATAACTATTATATGTAATCATATGAATAAAAGAGTTTAAAAAAAAAATAAGAAATTTAATTCGCACCTGTCTTTGTTGATTTGCCTGGTAAGGTATTAGAATTTATTGGTAGAAATCCTTTACAATTTTTTCCGCCCATCTTACATTAAATTAATATTACTCACGGATGATAACTGCTATGTATTGTGATATCTATTAATCATTAGATTACTTCGATTTCTACAATTATATGTACTTACATGTTAAAGATTATTTCAACTATAACGATTGACCTCGAATTGTATGTGGCAAAGTGTTTTCAATAAACTTTCACTTATTCATAGAATAGATTATAGATTATAAAAAAATATTATTTATTTATTGAATACATCATAATTCATTCAAAGAATTATATCGATAAAATTATTTTGAATTTTTTTTAATATTATATAATAAATTATAATAGATTGGCAATGGTTCTTAACATATTAATTAAACAATATAAAAAATATTTTAAATAAAATATTATTGAGATTTAATTATATATTATATATTAAATTTAGTTCAAAGATTACGAAAATTAATTTTTATTATTCAAAATAAATATATTTATCAATTTATTAAGAATTAAAATTAAGTATAATGTATTTTTTATTGTTTCTGATTTTTTTATAAAATAATCATTTATAATATATATTTTGCAATATTAATTTAACAACAAGAATATACAATCATTTTAAAGTCATTCGATGCATTATTACTGATAGCAACTTGTTGCAGTGATTCAGTTTTTAACTATACTTTTAAGGAAATCGATTTTCGTGCGCATACGATATTATATACATATATATGATATAGCATTAACAAATAAAATAATATAGATTAGAAACATGAACAAGAAATGATGTAAGTTTATTTTGTATACATCAGCGCTCTCTTACAATTCAGTATGAAAAGAAATCTCATATCTTTATGAATATTCTTGCTTATAACGTTATTAAATTTTATATCGCATATTAATTTTATTTTTATTATATTAAAAAGAAAAATTTGCTAATGCAATAAAATATTTATCATTCTTAATGTTTGATATATTTTTATGTTGAGATTGCCTCTCTTTTTTCATTATGAATAAAGATGTGAATTGTATACACAAAATATTTCATGTTTATATATATATAATGAAAGAAGAAGAAGCATTTTATAATATTTGATTTGAATTAATTTGAATTGAATAAAATGTTTAGAAAGTTTTAACATTATATTCATATTGCTGTTATTATATGATAAATTTATTAATAATACAAATTATAAATAAGTTATTTAATGTTTATTGAGATTATTAATTAAAAATTTTTCTTTATGAAATATGAAATTGAAATATAATTTTTAAATGAAAATTGATATATAATATATTGTGATTACTTAAAAAATAAAAAAATTTCATCATGATTTCTAAAACTGTATGCATCACACAAGAAGGTCCAGCAAATGCATTAGCACTTAATAAAGATAATAGTCAAGTTGTTATAGCAGGGCGTAATGGTAAGTTACTCAATGAAAAATTAATTGAAAGAGAAATGATTATATAAAGAAATATAATATATATGATTAATAGCTGATTTATTTT